TACTGAAAATGCAAATATGAATAAATAAACTGACCTAATATGGTCTTTGTGCTCCAAAATTGCTTCTAATGGTGACTGCAACATGAAATTAAAAGACTCTTGCTCCTTGGAAGAAAAGCTATACAAATTCTAGGCAGCATATTACAAAACAGAGACATTACTTTGCCAACAAAGGTCCATATAGTCAAGGTTATGGTTTTTTTCAGTAGTTATGTATGGATGTGAGAGTTGAACCATAAAGAAAGCCAAGCACTAAAGAACTGATGCATTCAAACTGTGGTGTTGAATAGGACTCTTGAGAGTCCCTTAATAGCAAGGAGATCAAACCAGTCAATCCTAAAGGATACCAACCCTGAATATTCACTGGAAGGACTGATGCTGAAGCTGAAGCTCTAATACTTTGGTTACCTGATGTGAAGAGCAGAGTCAATGGAAAAGATCCTGATTCTGGGAAAGACTGAAGGCAGGAGAAGGGGAGGACAGGATTAGATGGTTGGATGGCATCACCAACTCAATGGGAATGAGTTTGAGCAAACTCCAGTATATGGTGAAGGACAGGGAAGCCTGGCCTGCAGCGGTCCATGGGGTCACAGAGTCAGACATAACATCAACTGAACAACAGGAACAATATGGTCTTATTGTCAGAGATAACCTTAAATATGTCACAGCAAATTTTCAACCTTACATGTAAAAAATTTCTATCTATACATCTACTCACTGAAAAATGGAAAATTGGTGTCCAAGAGAGAGGGAGTCTATATATTGGAGTTAGCGATTGGTTGGTGTGTTTTATAATTGTTTTCCTGGATCACTCAATTTTGACTTTAACATTTCCTGTCCTGATTATGCTTATGACTCCTCTGTTGCTCTGAATGAAGGATCTTCAGTTTTCTAAATTTCATCATAACCCCTAAAGATTCAGAAGCAGTGAATGAATAATATCAAGCTGAACCATTTCACATGTCCTTCCTCCTCAGGAATCTTCAGTCTTCATGATCAAAAGATGACTCACAAGCAAGCTTAAATTTCTACCCAGTCATGTGATTCCAGATCACCATTTACTTTGGCACAACGTGCACATCCTTCCAGCTATTCCAAGTTTCTTAGAACAGAACTTAAAGTTCCTTATTAAGGAGAAACCAGTGAACCAACTGATAATCTAGTTATCTGAAACAAGTTTAAATAATAATCATGAGCATTGTCTCCAAATCAAAATGTATGCCAGAAATAAAAAGCAGTAGATTGTTATGCATGCTTTCATTACTCTTTGCTTTGTTGTTTCAGTTAGCCATTGCTGCATAACAAGCTATCCTAAATCACATAGTTTATCACAATGTCTTTCTTATCAAGTGAAATTAGATAGCTGGAGGTGCTCTGATCACTATTCAGATGCTCATAAGTCCACATAGCTGAGTTCAACTTTGTGCACATTGTGTATGATCCTATCATCCCAATGTGCTCACTCCATACCTGTGTGCTCACCTCACATCAATAAATCCAAGAATAGTAGACTTTCAACAAATCTCCAAGGGAAGAACCACACTATTTATATCTATATTAGATACTGGTGTGTGTCTGATATGTATCATCTTGAATTCTTTTCATATATGAGATTTCTCAGCCCAACTACAAACCACCAGCTTCTGGAGTTCTTTGCCCAAGAGCTTTATTTGACAATCAACTTTGCCTGGCCTGCCAACTTGCATGACTATCTAGTAGTTGCAGTGAAATAATACCCCCTGCAATGTAGTTCTTCTCATACAGCAAGTCCATACCTGACCTCTAGAAACTGATAAATATTTCATGCAAAAACATAAAATATTGCATTTTTTTGCTGCTTCTGTTAGTCTTTTCCAGGCAAGTTGTTTCTCACATCTGCATTCAAGACTCTCATTGAGGGTGTCTGTCTTTCTTTATGTTTCAAGTTAGTTTCTCTGGCATCATGCCTCCCCTGAGGTGGAACAGGTCAATGCCATGTGCAACATTTGCCCTGTGATTTCTCCCACAAAAAAATTGAGAGCATATGAGTGAGAGTCCAGCTTCCCCAGCTGTGCAGAAGATCCAGTGACTACATGCCTATCCAGAAAACTGATATAAACTTCATGACAAGGGAGTGGGGAGAGATTAGAACAGCAACCAGGACTCTTGAAGGTCATCATAGATAAGCAGATTCTAACAACTCATCATGAATTCTATCAGGAAATGTTCTAAAACTGTTTACAGTTGTAGGTATCTAAGAATGTGCTAAAAAACTGAACTGTACATTTAAAATTGGTGAATTGTATGGTATGTGAATCATGTCTTAATAAAGCTATTTTTAAAAGTTCAAAAATCTTTAAAGAAGGAAATAGGAAACTATAGTCCAATATACCGGATGAATATACATGAAAATATTCTAAACAAGATAGTGGTAAACCAAATTCTATGGAGCGTTAAATGGATCATAATCCAGAATCACATGGGGTTAATCTCTGGGACACAAGTAAGCTTCAACAAAAGCAAATCAGTCAATGTAATACACCATGTGAATCGAATTGAAGGTAAACATCATATGTTAATGACCATAGATGCAGAAAAATCATTTGACAAAATTCAACATTCTTTCGTGATAAAAATTCTACCAAAGTGACTATAGAAGGAATGAATCTCAACAGTAAAATGACCATATATGAAAAGCCCATAGATGGCATTATATTGACTGGTAAAAAGTTGAAAACATCCTCTTTAAGATCAGACACAAGACAAGAGGGCCCACTCTTCCCACTTCTATTCAACATAGTCCTGAAAGTTCTAGTTAGAGTACCTAGGTAAGAAAATACAGGCATCCTGATAGGAAAGAAAGACATCAATCTGTCTGTTTGAAGATGAAAAGTCTCTATATGTATGTATCTGTATATCTATATCTATCTATCTATGAAAACCTAAAGGCTGCATCAAAAAACATTAGAACACATAAACAAATTCAGTAAATTTGCAGGATAGAGAATCAGTATGTAAAAATCAATTATGTCTACATACACTAACAATGAACAATCAAGAAAGGAAAACTCTCAATTATAATAGCATCATAAAGGGTGTAAAAATACTCAGAAATCAGTTTAACCAAGAGGTCAAATTCCTACACACTAAACTATTTTAAGATTTTCATGAAAGAAGTGGAAGTAGGCACAAATAAATGAAGTAGTGTCATATGTTCTTGGATCAGACCAATTAATATGTCTAAATGGTAGAAAACAAATGAAATAATTACTTTTCCTATCTTAGTGCCTCAGGGACATCACATTTTCTAAATCTAAAGCACATTTTTGTTTATGCAATGAGAAAATCTCTATCAGCTAAAAAGTCTGAATATCCCCAAATTGAATTTAAATTTCCTCATCTACTTAAGATGAGATTACAACACAGTATGTCTTTCCCCAGGGGAAGCTAAATGAATAAATTCAGAAATGTAATCTCAGTTACTTGAACAAAGTTTTATTGGCTAAATGTCTATGGTGTTGGTGGTGGTTTAGTCGCTAAAACGTGTCTGACTTTTTGTAATGATATGAACTGTAGGCTGCTCTGTCAGTTGGATTCTCCAGACAAGACTACTGGAATGGGTTGCCATTTCCTTCTCCACCTGATCTTTCTGAACCAGGGGCTGAACTGCTGTCTTCTATATTGTAGGTAGATTATCAACTGAACCACCAGGGAAGCTGAATAAATACCTATCAGTTCAGTTCAGTTCAGTTCTGTTCAGTCACGCAGTCGTGTCCGACTCTTTGCGACCCCATGGACCACAGCATGTGAGGCCTCCCTGTCCATCACAAACTCCCGGAGTTCACTCAAACACATGTCCATCGAGTCG